GAGGAGGAGGAGGAGGAGGAGGAGGAGGATAAGGAAGAGGAGGAGGCGGGGGAAGAGGGGGAGGAGGAGGGGGAGGGGGAGGAGGGGGAGGCAGGTGCTGCTCCTGATGCTGTTGCTGTTGATGATGCTGCTGGTGCTGATGTTGTTGTTGATGGTGATCTGGCTGATTATGACGATGTTGGTGATGCTACGACATGATATGATATGATACGATATGATATGCTATGGTATGGTATGGTATGATATGATATGGTATGATGACGATGCTGATGCAGACGATGGTGATGGATATGATGCTGATGATGCTGATGATGATGATGGTGATGATGATAATGATGATGACGATGATGCTGATGATGATGATGATGATGATGATGACGCTGGTGCTGATGCTGATGATGCTGATGATGGGGCTGATGATGAAGATGAGGAGGATGAGGAAGATGAATAATACGCAGACGAATAATACTACTACTACTAATAGTAATAATAATACCAATCATAGTAGTAGTACTAGTAATAATGCGAATAATAATAACAATGATAATAATACTAATAATAACAATAATAATAGTAATGATGATATTAATACTAATAATAATACTAATAATAATAATAATAATAATATTAATCATAATAATAATAATAATACCATTAATAATACCACTACTACTACTACTAGTAATAATAATAATAATGATAATAATAATGATAATAATAATACCAGTACTACCAATAATAGTAATACTAATACTAGTAATAATACTACTAATAATAATAGTAATAATAATAATAGTAGTAACACTAATAATAAGAAGAAGGCGAAGCATAATACGAATAAGAAGAAGGCGACTACTACTAATAACACTACGGATACGACGACGAAACGGAGGAGGAGGAGGAGGAGGGGGAGGGGGAGGAGGAGGAGGAGATGGGGGGGGAGGGGAGGAGGGGGAGGTGGGGGAGGAGGATGGGGATGATGATGATGAAGAGGAGAGGAGAGGTTATGAGAGGAGCAGGAGGAGGAGGACGAAGGAGGGACGAGGAGGAAGAGGAGACGAGGAAGACGAGAGGACGAGGAGGAGGAGGAGCATGAGGATGAGGATGAGGATGAGGAGGGAGGAGGAGGAGGAGGAGGAGGAGGCGGAAGACGAGGAGGACGAGGAGACGAGGAGGAAAGGAGGACGAGGCGGAGGAGGAGGAGGAGAGGAGAGGAGGAGGAGGAGGAGGAGGAGGAGGCGGGGAGGCGGGGGAGGCGGGGGAAGGCCGTGGGGGGGGAGGCGGAGGAGTAGGCGGAGGCGGAGGGGGATGGGGATGAGGAGGAGGAGGAGGAGGAGGCGGAGGAGGAGGAGGAGGCGAGGAGGAGGGGGAGGGAGGGAGGGGGAGGAGGGGGAGGGGGAGGCTGAGGAGGAGGAAGAGGAGGAGGAGGAGGAGGAGGAAGAGGAGGAGGCGGGGGAAGAGGGGGAGGGGGAGGGGAAGGGGGAGGAGGGGGAGGCAGATGCTGCTCCTGATGCTGTTGCGGTGGATGATGCTGTTGGTGCTGATGTTGTTGTTGATGGTGATCTGGCTGATTATGACGATGTTGGTGATGCTACGACATGATATGATACGATACGATATGATATGGTATGGTATGGTATGGTATGAAGTGATATGGTATGATGACGATGCTGATGCAGACGATGGTGATGGTGATGATGATGATGATGATGCTGATGCTGATGCTGGTGATGATGATGGTGATGATGATGATGATGATGATGATGATGCTGATGATGATGATGATGATGCTGATGCTGATGCTGATGCGGATGCGGATGCGGATGCGGATGCTGATGCTGCTGGTGATGATGATGGGGCTGATGATGACGGGGATGCTGATGCTGATGATGCTGATGCTGTTCACTGTGATGATGATACTGATGCTGATACTGGTGATGAATCTGATGAGGACGATTATGAGCATGATGCTGACGATGACGATGATGATGCGGATGCTGATGTTGCTGATGCTGATGATGTTGATGAGGATGATGATGATGCTGATGACGCTGATGATGCTGATGATGCTGATGATGATGACGCTGTTGATGATGATGATGATGCTGATGATGATGATGTTGATGCTGATGGTGATGATGCTGATGATGACGATGCCGATGATGATGCTGGTGGTGATGGTGGTGATGATGATGATGCTGATGATGATGATGCTGCTGTTGGTGATGATGCTGTTGATGATGATGGTGATGCTGATGGTGATGCTGATGATGATGATGATGATGATGATGGTGATGTTGATGCTGCTGATGATGATGACGATGATGATGACGATGCTGATGCTGATGCTGCTGATGATGATAAGGCTGATGACGAGGAGGAGGGGGAGGAGGAGGAATATGAGGATGAGGCGGAGGAGGAGGAGGAGGAAGAGGAGGAGGAGGAGGAGGAGGAGGAGGAGGAGGAGGAGGAGGAGGAGGCGGAGGAGGAGGAGGAGGAGGAGGAGGAGGAGGAGGAGGAGGAGGGGCAGCAGCAGGAGCAGTAGGAGTAAGAGGAGCAGCCATGCTCTGCCCGTGCTTGGCGATCGTGGCAGGCGGATCAGTATTTGCACGCGGGGGCGTTCTCACCATGCCTGTTATTGCATCATCGCAGCCCTTGCCGACGTTGTCATCTTTGCGCAGCGCCCTCGCCGCCACCATCACCGCGACTCTTGGCTTTGCCCACGTCGTCGCCACATCTCCGCCCCCAGATCCGGAGGCTCGAGGTCGGATGCTCCGCCCCCGAGCGCCCAGCATCCTCTGCAGCCGAGAGAGGGGGCGACCCTCAAGGCGGTTCTGGGCCTCGATCCTTGGAGCGGTGGTCCCGCTGATCGGCTCAAGGAGTGGTGCTCTGACCCCCGCGTCGCCCAGCGCTGCGCTGCCACCCAGCATGGCCGAGGGTTCCGCAGGGGCTGGCCGAGAGGGTAAGCGACGGCGAGCCGGGGAGGCAGACGGTGGAGCAGGCAGCGCTCGGGAGGAGGTGCTTGTCGTGGCCACGGGCGGCACCATCGACAAGGCCTACCCGAGGACCGGCCAAAAGCAGTGCCCTGGGCACCGACGGCCCCGCGCGCGGCTCGGGCCTCCCAGCGCCAGCGCAAGATCGGCCCGGGGCCTCCCAGATTACCTTACCCCTGAGGCGTTCCTCGCTCTTGGCATCGCTCGGACGTGTGCACTTTTTCGCGGCGAGGAGCATCGAGGAACATTTTGTCATCGAGAACACACGACCCCCTAACTTTAAGAACACGATGAAGACGTGGCCTCACTGAGGTCCCCATTATTTTATCTGCGTGAGTGATAGTAAGTCTGGACGGCTTGGTTCGATACGCCTGCAGAAAAAGACCCCTTATCCCTAACAGTTTGGGCCCTCCTGACTTATAAGTAGGTCCCCTCCCACAGGGTTTGTGGTCCTATTTGGGTTGCTCACTTGGGGCCATCTTGCTGAGAAATGCACGCACGAACTCGAAACATACGCACGGCGAATGGGCGGCCGAGCGACGGCGAGCGCCTCGAGCAGCCGCTGGAGGCAGCGACTGGGGCGTCGAGGCCTACTCTGGCCTTTCTTCGTGCCGGTTTTTCAGGCGGCCTCCTCCTCCTCCTCCTCCTCCTCCTCCTCCTCCTCCTCCCTCCCTCCTCCCCTCCTCCCTCCTCCCTCCTCCCTCCTCCCTCCCTCCCTCTCCTCCCCCTCCCTCCCTCCTCCTCCCTCCCTCCTCCCTCCTCCCTCCTCCTCCTCCTCCTCCTCCTCCTCCTCCTCCTCCTCCTCCTCCTCCTCCTCGGCCGGGGCTGCCCGCGGGCCGATCGGTGGACCGCGCGCTGCTGTGGCACCGAGGACGACTGGCGGCTGGGCGTTCGAGATCTAGGGGAACGAAGAGTGACATAAACATAAAAACTCGGAAGTCCGCGCGGATTTTTCGGATCCGCGCTGGACCCCCCTGGCGGCGTCTCCGGCGCCGCCCCTGGCGAGCTCCGCGCGCCAGGGAGGGGTGGGGTCCAGCGCCGATCCGATAAATCCGCGCGGACCTCCGAGTTTTTCTGTTTATGGCACTCTTCGTTCCCTTAAGATCGGGGAGCCCGCGGCCCCGAGGATCCTGGAGCGAGTTATCGGAGGCGCCTTCCGCGAGTCACTGCCGCCCCCCTGACCAGAAGCGTGTGGCCAGGCGGCGGGCCAAAGCCTGTGCAGGCCACAGGACGCCCTCGATGCAGACCTTGCAAGCTTCAAGATAGCAGCCCAGGGACTGTCAGCCACGCGCAGAGGGGGGTGGGGGGGAGAGGGGAAGGCTTCTTAGAAACACCCCTGCTTCTTAGAAGGCGCGGGCCTTGTCTGTAGATATAAGGCCGGCGTCTTCTAAGAAGCAGCCTCCTTCTAAGAAGTGTTCCCCCCTCCCCCTGCCCCGCCTGTGCGCGCCGCCATGACTGCCCTGGATGGCCCCGAGATGGCCCTAAGATAAGGTGCCCCCGAAAGGCCCCGTAATGACCTAAGACAGCCCCAAACAATCACGAATCTAGCCACAATATTTCTCAGCTAACCGACTGTTTGTCATCCCAGCCATTGTGGGGGACCGCAGGGGAGCGCCGAATGCAGATCTTCTAATCGCTTGTGCCCCTCAGAAAGCCAGCGGGCGATGCTGGCCAGCTGGAATGGCAGCGCCACTACCGTGGAGCCTCTAGCGAGTCATTGCCGCTCCTTGCCTTTTTGGTAACGCTTCCGTGTCCGAACGTGGGGGCAAAGCTCGGTCAGGCTGCTGGGCTCTGTGCCGAACACCGGTTGTGGAACAAAGGCGGGGAAATTTCCTCCTCCTCCTCGTCCTCCTCCTGCTGCTGCTCCTTCTCCTTCTCCTCCTCCTCCTCCTCCTCCTCCTCCTCCCCCTCCTCCTCCCCCTCCTCCTTCTCCTCCTCCTTCTCCTTCTCCTTCTCCTCCTCCTCCTCCTCCTTCTCCTCCTTCTCCTCCTCCTCATTGAACCTCTGGGGTCCCTTGGAAAGTCTCGAGGCCCTGCGATGCTGCCTTGGGGAGTCCCTGGGACTGTTTCGGCGGCCCCGGGGCGTCTTGAGAGCGTCTTGGGGCTTCTCAGAGAACCTAGGGCCATCTGGGGGGTCTCGTGGGGCTTGCTTGGAGATTACTGGAGTCTTTTGGAGGCTTCCCTTGGGAGCTGCTCTCCTGGGAGCCATTCGGGCCCTCACGGGGGCCTCCTGGGCCACTCGTAAGCCCCCTTTGGACCATCTTGAGGCCATATGGAAACATCTTCGGCCCGCTAGAAGCCTGGAGTGCAAGACCACACAAACTATCAGTTCATAATTTTCACTCTTTTTTTTTGTTATGCCTCTCGGGTGCCTCCTCGGGAGGGTCCTGGGCAACATCGGAGCCATCTTGGGGCCCGATTTGGGCCCGCTTGGGCTTATTGGCAGTTTGGAAGACCACACTGCGCAAGCTTGGGCAACTTTTGCCCATGGTGCGGCATGTCGGCGACCATCGTGGGACATGTCAGGCAATCTTGGAACGTCTGGGGCCATGTTGTCACGCCTGGGAGAGCTTGCCAGAGCCATCCTCAACAACCTTGGCAATCGACGACGCATCGTCAGTCGCGTCGGTGGCAGCAGCCGAAGAGATTTGGGAGAATCTCTAGGAACAGAGATCATGATGGGCCACTGCAGGTAGTTGATGGAAGACGCCCCTTTCGAGTCTCTGCCGCCTCTTGCCTTTCTGGCACTGTGAGGTCAAACGTTGGGCCAAGCACTAGCCCGACTATGGATTGCGTGTCCCCCGATCCGCTTCCGACGCGTCATGCCCCACTATGGTGAACCACAGCGGGCGGCGGACAGAAGACCTGTCCAGCCAGCCACCACCGCGCATTACGTACATGGTGTGCGTTGTCTTAAGGCGAATCATATGGCCAACGCTGAGAGGCATTTCCCAGTATGTAACGTCTCCGTAGTCCCTCTCCCAATGATTTTGGACGCCTTGGTGAGCTCTCTTGTCGATCCTTGGGGCCCGCTGATGACAGAATAGGACCCGCGATATCTCCCAGGCAGCCTGAAAGTGCCCTAGGGAAGCCCTCCAAGACGCGCCAAGAGGGCCCCTCAGAGGCTCCGAGGACGATTCAACAGGCCACTAAGACGCCCCACGCCCCACGATGGCCTAGGAGGCCCCAAGAGCCCCAACAGGTCCCCCAATTGCCCCACGTGTATCCCGAGACCCTCCGCAGCACCAGCAGAGACAGCAGCAGCAATCAGCAGCAGTAGCAGCAAGCAGCCGCAACCAGCAAGCATGCAGCAGCAAACAGCAGCAAGCAGTAGCAAGCAACGGAACACAGCAGCAAGCAACATCGATAAGCAGCAGGCAAGCAACAAGCAGCTCATATGTGTCACGAGCATTTATATGAAGCAGCGCTTCCGGTTGTTCCCAGAATAGGTTGGACGGGGGATCGTGGCCCTAGGAGCTCCCAGGGCAATCCTTTATAAACATATTTAGGATCGTAGCCTTGGGAGCCAGCTTCTGTTTCAGTGTTGATGTCAGATTTCGCCCAGGGTCAGGAAAGGTGTGGCCCTCAGTGTGTCAGGCTTAAACGGGCATTTCGGGCGGCATGACATACTTACAATTTCAACGCTCAATATGCTTATACAATCATGTGAATCCCGTTCTTGAGCATTACATGTCATACCAGCACCCAACTTGGCACTGCACAGCCTGGAGGCTCCTCGTGGGGGCTTGGCGGACCCCAGCTGGCTTCAGCTACTCTGTCACCAGTGCCTGCGCTAAGGATTCGCAAGAGATTACCGACACGGATCGCGAGTCGATATTGGACTGCTGCGCCAAGGCCTCTGCCAGCCGCGTGGTAGTGACCCACGGCACTGACACCCTGGTCGAGACAGCGAGCTACCTCGGCCGGAGGCACGCGGAGCTCATGCCGGAGAAGGTGGTCTGCATCACGGGCGCCATGCGCCCAGAACGCTTCGTGGATTCCGACGCCCACTTCAACATGGGCGTCTGCTTCGGCGCCCTGGCGTTGGCGCCTCCCGGAGTGTACGTCTGCATGAACGGCGCCGTGCACCCCTGGGCAGGGGCGGGCCGCGACCTGGAGACGGGCCTCTTCACGGGCTCTGCCGGAGCAGCTGCCCGATGACAGGGGCGGGCAAGGTACCGGGGCTCGACTTGAACGGTGTTTGGGCGATTTCGTGGACCGTTTTCGTTCTGAGTTCGTCTCGCAGCAAAGGCAGAGGAGGACAGAACGAACGAAAACGAACGTGAGCGTTCTCTTATTCGACTTTTCGACATTGGGCGGAAGGGGGGGGGTCTGGATCTGGACCTCTGCTTAGCGCGACTGTTTGCAACATTGCGTCCTGTGGGTGAGGCTCCACCTGCTTGAAATAGGCGCCAAAAAACAGCCCAGATCTGCTCCGTGGGGGGGGGAGGGGGAGGGGGGTGGAGAGGGGGGGGGGGCGAGGGCCCGCGCCGATCGGCAAGACAATGAACAAGGAAACGATCCAACGAAGCGAGCACGCAGAAGACACCGTTTTCAGCTCGAGCCCTGTGGGGGGGGGTGAGGGCCCGCGCCGATCGGCAAGACAATGAACAAGGAAACGATCCAACGAAGCGAGCACGAAAAGCATTGGTTTCAGCTCGAGCCCTGTGTGGGTGGGGGGGGCGAGGGCCCGAGCCGATCGGCAGACCAATGAATGAGGAAACGATCTAACGCAGCGAGCACGAAAAGAAAACACCGTTTTCAGCTCGAGCCCTGCAGGGCTGTGCCGTGCACCCGTGGAGAGCCCACCTGCCCTGGCCTCGCCTGGTCCCGTCTGTCGCCTCCGTCTCGGGCCCGCGGCGCCCCGCCTGCTGGCCGGGGACTCGAGTGTCCTCCTCCTCCCTCCTCCCTCCTCCCTCCTCCTCCTCCTCCTCATCCTCCCTCCTCCTCCGTAGCCATTCTGGCCCAAGTCTGCCCACTTAAGTTCTCTTCATTCCTCTCTACTTCACTTTCATCTTACCCGCAACGCGCAGACTATTATGGCACTCCCCGGCAAGACCCAGACCTTCCGCTGACAATCAGAAGCACCAGAAAGTCGAACCCGCACCGGACCGTGTTGATCAAATGTTCAATGAGCTTAGGGAACTAATGGGAGGGTTGACGACCAAGGTTGACGAGAGCCTCAAGGTCGCTCAGGAGGCCCGTGCCTCTGCAACATCAGCCCAACAATCCGCATACGTTGCACCAATCGGCGTCGCAGGAGTGGAGCACGACATCAAGAAGGCCAATCAGCGCCTCGACATCATGGACACGAAGACCAATGCCATCGAGAACAAGCACAACCACGACATCCCCGCCGTCGGACATTCCGACACGGAAAAACGCATGAGCCAAATCGTGGTATTTGGATTTCAAGAGCGTCTAGCAGCAAACAAAACATAGAGGATATCGAAAGCATACTGGTTAAAGTACTTGGCGATGGCCACAATTGTAAAGTATCCACCCGGACAGGCCAAGATAAAATGGGCATCATCAGTTTCCTTTCGATCCCTGCCAAAGTGAAATTCTACAAAAAATACCACAACCACAAGGACGACCCGATGATCAAAGGCAAGATGTTCAAGAACAATTTGACGATCAAGGAGCAGGAGCAGGTCAAACATCTAAGGTTGCACCAAGCACCACCTTAGCGAAGACGCCGACTACAAGGGCAACGTACATCGATATCAAGATTTTGTGGTCCAAGAGAATGGTGCTTTTGGGAGACCCAAAAAGTAGCGTGGTATCGCAAATAAAGGAGGTGGACCACCACAGCAACAGCCGAAAAAGTGGAAAAACAAGTGCAGGATTCGATCCAGACGTGGAAGGACAAGATCACCGCGGACCCGCCCACGGACAGCGACCTGTGACAGGGACGGCCGCCAGGCACGCTAATCCAGCGCGCCCTAATACACAGTTTTGCGTTTCACCCCCATCCCCGAATTCATCCAGATGGGCATTCGATTCCCCTTTATCCCTCCCCTCCTGCCCCCTCCAACGGGAATGCCCGATTCTTCCAGAATTCGACGCGACACGAAATCGACAGTTTAATTTGTTACCCCCCTTCTACAGGAACCGCTCCCTCAGGACATGCAGCGTCGACTTTGGTTTCGCGGCCGACCACGTCCACAACGCCAGCGTTCAGCACCGGAGGCGGCAGAAAGGACTTTGCACACGCGGACGGCGACGTACCAGCGCGCATTGTCCACCGTTCAGCACCACCACGGGCAGCGGCAACCAACAACCAGCAGACGCAGCACCAGCACCGTCCAGCAACACCACCGCAAGCAGCGCCGACCTCACCCAACCAGCACGCACCACCGACCAACGCCGACCACCGACCGGCAGCACCACAAACATCGCCGACCCCACCCGACCAGCGCACGCCACCGACCAACGCCGACCATCGACCAGACAGCATCCGCCACCGAGCAGCGCCGACCAGCAGCACCACCACAAGCAGCAGTGACTCCACCCGACCAGCAGCAACCACCCACTATCGACCGGCACCGACCAGCAGCACCACCACAAGCAGCACCGACTCCAACCGACCAGAAACTCCCAGCGCCACCCGCCACCGACCAGCACCAACCAGCAGCACCACCGCAAGCAGCGCCGACCCCGCCCGACCAGCATGCTGCGCCGACCAACGCCGACCACCGACCAGCAACACCACAAGCAGCACCGACCCCAACCGACCAACACCGCCAGACAGCACTCGCCACCGACCAGCGCCGACCAGAGCACCACCACCACGAGCAGCAGCGATTTCAACTGACCAGCAGCAACCACCACCCGCCACCGACAACCACCGACCAGCAGCACCATCACAAGCAGCACCGACCCCCACCGACCAGCAGCGACCCCACCGACCAACTCAAGCAGCTCCAACGACCATGACGATCATTCACAAAGACGCCCAGTCACTGACGACGGACGACCGAATCCATGAACTCACCACGGAACTTGACAGTGCACAGTGGAATTTCGTGTTCATTAACGAGACGTGGAGAGCGACGGCGACGGAGCTATGGACAACCACGGAGAGACACATCTTCGTTGGATCTGGCAACGACCAAGCGTGTCATGCAGTTGCAAGTCTCGCAAACAAGCGTTGTGGCAAGCAAATACAGAAATTTCCAGCACTTTCGCCAAGACTAGCCACAATGTCATTGCAGAGGGGACGGCCGAAACTGCAATTCGTGTCAGCGTGTTTTCCCCCCAGGTTACAGCGACCTGCATGTTCAGCGCACGTGCGACGCCATCCACGAGATCCACAGAGAACATCAAAGCATGACGTCACATCATTCTCGCCGGAGGCTTCAACGCGAAGGTTGGGGCATCCACCAATTCTGAGGACAACGACGACGACGACCACGACGACGACGACGACCGCGTCACCTCAAGATACGTTGGCCGTCACGGCTATGGGAAAGAACATTCAAGAGGCACTTGATTACGACATTGGGCAAAACAGGAAGGGCATGTAATCGCGAACACATTATTCCGCAAGCCGGCGCAGATGAGAATAACATACACCAGCGGCGACAACGATAAGCAGTTCGACTACATATTGTTGAGCCGCAAGCTTTTCCGACACTGCACAAACGCTGAGGACAATAACACGTCCGACCTGGGATGCGACTACAAGGCTGTTCTCACCGACTTGAAGATACCAGAATCAATGGTAAGGAAACGACCGCGGCACGACGACAAGCGACGACAGCACCCACCTTCAGCACCCCGACCGACAGGACAAATCACCAACACGAGCGTCTACCACGAGCACCAGCGTCCACGACTGCACCCAAAGGAACTACCATCCGACCCGCAAGCACTGAGCGACCACATCCAAAACGTTATCATCGAGGCCGTTGCTGCCAGCCCTGCCAGGGAGCCACTAGGAGACCGCCCGCCTGACAGTGGAGAAGAGTGGTTGCACTCCCTACTAGAGCAGCGTCACCAGACACCGAACAACGACCATCAAACACGCAAGCAGTTGAGCAAACTCAAACAGCAGGAGATCCGTGCGCAGAAGGGGAGGAAACGACGAGCTCATATAAGTTACGTGCTCGTCAGTTCAGAGCCCTGAAGAGTACCACGCGCAGCAAAACACGCAGAAAACGGATTCTCATCACACACACACATGACAGACACAGACTGCGCCAAACGCACGACAAGGCAAGACATTTGCTGACGTTGTCGCAGAATTTTATGATCACGTTTACTACGCAACGGCAGAGACGACGCAGCCAGAGCGACTTATCGACGACCTCCCACCTTTCACAAGAACAGAGTGAACAGAGTTAGACAAGGCGATCAAAGGGCTTCGCCTTGGCAAAGCCCCCGACACTATAGGCCTCCGAGCAGAGACGCTGAAAGAAGGCGCGGGGGAACTCAAAGAGGCATTGCTACACCTCTACGACACGATCCTGCAATCCAACGCTCCTCCGCCGGCCAGCTGGAAGAGCACGGTTGTCGCGGTAATTCCAAAAAGGTGGGGATCTTACGCTTCCTCAAAACCTACCACCCTTAACCAGCACTCGACTCCCCGACAGGCAGCTGACCAAGCAGGCTTCAGACAAGGACATTCGACCACCGACCACTTATTCACATGTCACATTCTCCGAGAGCGTGCGCACGAATGGAAGCAGAACTTGTGGGTTGCAGCGCTCGACTTAAAAAAGGCTTTCGACACGCTCGAACACAAGAGCATATGTGCAGCACTCCAGGCGCAAGGTATCCAACCAGGATACATTTTTCTACAACAGCAGTTGTACCAGGGACAGGAAGCCACAATCAAGACGGACGTAACCAGCCGGCCCTTCAGCCTTTTTACGGGGCACGGAACAAGGGGACCCGCTCAGCTCCCTTCTCTTTAACGCTCTTCTACAACACGTTCTCGAACTTCTGACCACCGAGTGGCAAAAGAAGGTCACTAGCGCTCAGCTGGGGCTTACCACCGCCACCACACTCAACAACCTTCGCTTCGCCGACGACGTGCTTTTGACCAGCCAGACTCTTCCGCGCCTCGCCACGATGCTCGAAGACATTGTGCGCGCAGCGCGACCGCGCGGACTCGAGCTGCACCCCTCCGAAACCAAGATACTGAACAACCAGACGAGACGGACCGGCAGGGCGAGCTCGCGCACGGCGCGCGTTGAGGGCATGGACATAGACATTTTGCCACGCGAGGGCAGCATCAAGCACCTCAGTCAAATCATCAGCTTCCACGACGCGATGGAGACAGATATCCACCACCGCACGAGGGCCGCATGGACATTCACCTCGCGCAAACAGGAGCCGACCAGCAATCACTACCCGCTGGCGCGCAGGCTTCGACTTTTCAATAACACAATAACGCCAACGGCGCTGTACGGAGCAGAGACTTGGACGCTCACAGAACCTCTCCGGCAACACCTGCGACGAATTCAGCAAAGCATGCTCCGCATGGTCATCATAACGACACGGCGACGCACTACTCACCGCACAATCTCTCGCAATAACCAAAGCGGCATGGACGACGGCACGACCAACGAAGCACTTGGCGACGATCCCAACGCAACAGACAGCACCGACGACGCAAACAGCCACGCAGCACCGCAAGACGCAACAGACCGGCACAGCGAGAGCAACGACGACGGCGACGACGACAGCGAGGACACGCTGAGCCTTGGGTTGAGTACACCAAGTCGCAAAGTGGGAGACGATTCGCAGACAGAGGTCGTGGCGCATTGCGTCGACGGAACGACTTCATCTGGGTTCGCACTGCTCAAGACATCCCCACCTGGTCGACAGTTGAACGGCAAGACGTACACCCACGTGGCGACAGTACGCCGACATCCACATCCATGACTTCCTCCCCTCTTCCCCTCTTCCGTCGTAACTTTTCTTTGTATCGCTAATCATATGCATGCTTGCGTGTAGTCCACACGCACAGGTTTCAGGAGGCCGCGGCCTCCCCCACCAGGTCTTGAGTGGGCCCGGACACCATTGTTCGTTCCTCCTCCTCCCCCTCCGCCCTTTTCCTCCTCCTCCGCCTTTTTCCTCTTTCCTCCTCCTCCTCCTCCTCCTCCTCCTCCTCCTCCTCCTCCTCCTCCTCATCCCTCCTCCTTCCTCCTCCTCCTCCTCCTCCTGCTCCCCCTCCTCCTCCTCCTCCTTCTCCTCCTCCTCCTCCTTCTCCTCCTCCTCCATTGGAGCATCTGCCTCGCCATCCGCAGCGCCAGGAGGCCGCAGATATCATACAGTGGGGGCCCATGCCAGGAAGCACCCTGCTTGCCTCCAGGGCGCCCTGGATTTCTTAGGCTTCGCTGGTTTAGCTGTAGGAGGCGTGACGTCCCCACACCAAAAATCAATCAACGTCCTGGGGTTTCAGGGTTGGGTTTCTTGTGGAGGTTTCTTGTGGTCGAGCCCCCACTGTATGCCTCGCCATCCGCAGCGCCAGGCCGCAGATTTTTATGAGCGGCAGCGGCCACTCCTTGGGAAATGCTCGAAGAAGAAGAATACGCTCTCGGCGCCCCGCGCGGATTTCTTGGCTCTGCGCTGCCCCCCCCCCCCTGGGCGGCGCCTCGGACGCCGCCCGTGGCGCGCTCCGCGCGCCAAGGAAGGGGGGTCCAGCGCAGGTCCAGGAAATCCGCGCGGAGCGCCAGAAATTTATGCTTATGCCGTTTCCTCTCCTTTCCTTCTAGAAGTAGGTCTGTGGTCTCAGAACTTGTGCCGGCTTCGATCATCAGGATCGCTGTGCGGGCGCCAGGTGCAGAGACCGTGGACGTCACCGTGCTGCGTCATTGGCGGCGCCAGCACAGTCAGCGAAATGGGCATGTGCGCACTGCCCGCGTGCACCGTCGGGTGGCACTCGTGAGGTTGCTTTTTGTTGCGCTTGGTCGAAAAGTGATGTCAGTGTGTTTTCCAGATTAAGCTCTTGGCGTGCTCAAAGGCATTGGTTCACGTCGATGGCGACTCGGGGGCCCGAGCACGGCAGAGCAGAGTCTGGCAGGGGACGGAGTCGTGCTTCGAACTGCAGCCCCTTGGCTCGGATGTTTGGTCTTACGTCTCACAGGTTTCTTTGTGCCCATCGGCGCGCTGGTTGCTCGCAGATTCCTTCCCCTTACTCGCTCGCAAGCACGAGGGCGAGGAGGAGGAGGAGGAGGAGGAGGAGGAGGAGGAGGGCAAGGAGGAGGAGGAGGAGGAGGAGGAGGAGAGCGAGGAGGAAGCGGACCGAAAGGATTGGTGGTCCCCCGGCCTGCCGCGCAGCCGGGCCAGGTCGACGTGGACAATTGCGACTGCTGCTTCGTGGAGGAGCTCCTGCGCGGGGGCTTGCGCCCCTGGGTGGTGCACGCAGAGGTGCACTCGCTGGTGCCGCCGCCGCTGGGCGCCCCGCGGGGGGACGGGGAGAAGCAGCAGGAGGAGGAGAAGGAGGAGGAGGAGGAGGAGGCTGGGGGATTAGGAGGGAGGAGGAGGAGGAGGAGAAGGAGGAGGAGGAGGATTGGAAGGAGAAGGATGAGAAGGAGAAGGAGGATGACGGAGGGCTGAGAAGGATGAGAAGGAGGAGGAGGAGGAGGGAGGAGGACGACGAGGACGAGGACGAGGACGAGGACAAGGATAAGGAGGAGGGAGCAGGAGGAGGAGGAGGAGGAGGAGGAGGAGGGGAGGAGGAGGTGGAAGAGGAGGAGAAGGAGGAAGAAAAAAATATGGAGGTGGAGGAGGGCACACTCGCTGGTGCCGCCGCCTGGGGCGCCTCGCGGGGGGACGGGGAGACGCAGGAACAGGAGGAGGAGGAGGAGGAGGAGAGGAGGAGGAGGAGGAGGATTGGAAGGAGAAGGAGGAGAAGGAGGAGAAGGAGAAGGAGGATGGCGGAGGGCTGAGAAGGAGGAGTAGCGGAGGAGGAGGAGGAGGAGGAGGAGGAGGACGAGGACGAGGACGAGGAACGAGGAGAGGACAAGGAGATTGAGCAGGAGGAGGAGGAGGAG